GTACAGTGAAGACATACCCACACATGAAAACTCTGATATAAGAGGGGGCGTGACAGAGCCCTTAATTCCCTGTCAGAGAATGGGTGGGAATGAGCATATCTGGCAAAAGAAATCTAGGGAGACTTCTTGGAACAAGGAGGATTCCAGTTAGACCTTGAATGAGAGGCACATCTTCCATAGGGAACCATTGGAGGAAATGCCATAGCTCCAAGAATAGGCTTGTCAAGGAATGGCAAAAACTCTTGCAACAACTGGAGGGAGGAAAGGCTGAGAGAGCAACCTGGGACATGGGTGGGAGTCAGATTCTAAAGGGCTAGAATGTGGACAGGTATTAAATAACAATGTTGTGTGCACTGCACAGGCAGTCAAAAGGGTGCTAACAGACTGTGTCAAATGATTCTACAAACATTCTCTCGAAACCCTCACAAAAATCCTGTGAAGAAGACAGCATCAACATTTCAAAAATGAGAAAAAATAGGGCTTGGAAAGGTTAAGTAACTTGCCCCAGCTCCTGCTGGCAAAAGAAGTAAAAAATTACGCAGCACGCACCACACAGTGCAAGGAGATGATGATGTACGCAGAGGGGAAAAAAAAAATCAATAAAATCCTAAAAGGTTAAAAACTGGAAACAACACCAGAACTACTTTTACTTCTGCAGATAACCTGAAGCCCTGACTACATTCTAACATTCATGTTTCTACCGCTTTGAGTCCACTGCTGTCAGAGTTGCTCATCCTCCTGATACTCCAGCTCATCTTAACTCCACAAAAGCAAAGCAACAAGAACTCTCTCTCCTAACACCTGAGACTTCTAACACAGAATCCCCAGACTTGATAGTCCTCACCATGCCACTGCCTCTGCTCACTCAGTACATCCAGCCTTCTCTGACCTACCCATTCACACCACCAGGAAGTGCTACCACTGCCAACCTCCCAACCATCACGTGTTCTCAGTATTCATTCTAGAGTCACAGAACATGGAGCTGGAAGAGAACTCCAATCTGTGACCTCCAATCAATCTTCTCAGCTGACAAGAGGTGAAGTGACTCTCCCAAGATTTCCCAACAATTTATGTGAGGAACAGGATGTAGCTAGCTTTCCTGATTCTAGTTTCAAGGACTTCTACAAAGGAGCACTTCTCAAAGTGGACTCCAAAAAAAAAAAAAAAAACAGCATTATCGATTACAATGAATGGCTTGTCGGTCTAAACTATTTTTGTCTTAAAACATACTAATGTATTATAAAGTGGAATGCAATTTTCACATACATCATTCCTACTGAGGTTCTTCAAGCTGTGTATTCAGGCTATGCAAACTCTTAGGAGGAAACGTATGAGCTGCCTAACTCTACACCAACACTGCACTCCCCAAAATATTAAGGGAACACTTTGAAGTTCCACAATGATGCAGCCCAGCACTCCCATCCAAATTCTTCTCTGCCTATATTCAGCAGAGACACCAAGCATCCCACTTCTGGTCGGGGTAGAGGGGCAGACCACAGGAAGCAGTTTTATGCCATCAAGTTAGGGACAGAAAAAAAAAAAAAAAATCCTAAGAGGCAGATGAGTAGGAGTGGGGAGGTCAGGAGATCACCTACTACCACACAGAAATAATGTTATGCTGGTACCAAGTCACTCAGTCTCATTCAGTGTTGTCCTACCCCACAACAAAATCCTTGTCAATACTGAAATCACCTTTACAAGCCTCCTGCCAAATGAGGTTTTGTGGATAAAAGAACAGGTTCCGGCCGGGCATGGTGCCTCATGTCTGTAATCCCAGCACTTTGGGAGGCCGAGGTGGGTGATCACCTGAGGTCAGGAGTTCAAGACCAGCCTGGCCAATGTAGTGAAATCCCATCTCTACTACCGAAAATACAAAAATTAGCCGGGCATAGTGGCGCATGCCTGTAATCCCAGCTACTCGGGAGGCTGAGGCAGGAGAATCACTTGAACCCGGGAGGTGGAGGTGCAGTGAGCCAAGATTGCGCCACAGCACTCCAGCCTGGGCAACAGAATAAGACTCCATCTCACACACACACACAAAAAAGAACAGGTTCCCAGGATTCACCCTGATCTACCCAACCAAAATATCCAGGAATATGTGTTTTTAAAAGTTCCTTGGCCAGGTGCAGCGGCTCACACCTGTAATCCCAGCACTTTGGGAGGCTGAGGCAGGCACATCACGAGGTCAGGAGTTTGAGACCAGCCTGGCCAACATGGTGAAACCACATCTCTACTAAAAATACAAAAATTAGCCGAGCGTGGTGGTGCATGCCTGCAATCCCAGCTACTCAAGAGGCTGAGGCAGGAGAATTGCTTGAACCCAGGAGGTGGAGGTTGCGGTGAGCCAAGATCATGCCACTGCACTCCAGCCTGGGTGACAGTGAGACTCTGTCTCCGGGGAAAAAAAAAAAGTTCCTTAAGCGATGCTGATGGTTGAGAACCACTTCCAGAAAACATGACACCTCTCTTAACCATTTGCTGAAGACTGTCCTCTTGGGTTTCTGTGAAACTTACTGCTCTCCACCAAGATTATTCCCCAAGATCTGTTCTTCACCTTTGGCTCTTCTCTCTCCCTCAAACCACTCCAGTTGCTCTAGCTCCCAAAAGATCTAGTCCAGTAATTCCAATAGCCTATGGGCAGGGACTCCTACCAGGAACTTCAAGTTCAACCTGTCTAAAACTGAACTTTTTCCCCTAAACCCAGGTGACAGTTCAGTTAATGCATTATCACTATTCCAGTCACCCAAGTTTAAACCTTGGATCATCATTGACCCATCCCTCCCCTTCCTCCATCCCTGCTCCCCATGTCCACTACTTCATTAGACTGGTCACCAAACCCTAACCTATGGAAGTGTCTTATAAGACGTGTTACCAGGTAAATGAGTTACCAGGTAAATGAGTGCACTACCTCTGTCAGTTCATCTGCGAAACAAAGATCAACCTCTCAGGTTATGTTAAGGGTTAAGTAAGACAATAACTCCAGAATATAAAACATCTGACACTATACATATTAGTATATACTCCTTTCTCCTCCACACCTTTCTGCAAACTACAATCATCCTGGACAAAAGTGTTCTCATGCTACTACGGAATGGTTAAATAATAGAACAGGAAGATTTGGAATTCACAAAATGAAATTTTTAGTTCCAGCTCTACGGTGAATGGCTATGTGTTCTCGGTCAAATCACTTAACCTTGCTGAATTGGTATGTAAACTTGAAACTTACCTATTTCACAGAGACACTGAAGATCAAATGGCAAGACTTCATTAACCTGCCGTAAGGTCCTGCTAAAGGCCACCTCCAACAGCTCTCTGATCACTAAGATGGCACTTATGCCACTGACAAGGATGAGGAATAGCCTTAAGTTCTGAAATTGAACCCTAATGGAACCCCATTCTTCATTTGGCCCTATTACCCTGGTAGTTACCAAGACAGTCAAAGCTTTGGCTTCTACTGAGGAAAGTAACATCCGATCAACCTGCAGCATGCATTAAGATTTCAGGAGGAAACATCTGAAGCATTTTATAAATTGTAAGATCTAGAGAACTGGGGGAGGTATCGTCAGCATTTCTGTCTTCTTGGGTTTCTACAAACAGGCTGAATGCTTGGCTGAATAGTTTCTTTCAATCTCATCAGAAGTCCCATCTCTCCTATAAAACCTTCTTCACTTCTCAACCATCATTTCTATCTCCTTTCTTTACAATGGGCTCCATCAAATAATTGCCCTTACAAAGTCTTCTATTACTTTCTGGGTTTTCCCTTTTTAACTGTAAGTGTCACAAACAGAGAGAAACCACTACTTAAACACCCCTATCACCCGTACCTAAGAGTGTAAACTACATTCAGCAAACGGTTGCTTAGTACATTCAAAAGTGCCCAGTCAACTTTACTGAATGAGTACTGACAGCGCTTCCAACATACAATAAACTTAACCTGGAAGGTACAGAATTAAGTTCAAATGAAATTTTAATAATCACTACAATGACAGTCTTTGACCTGGGAAATCACATTTCAAACAAGCGGCCACACCCATTGATTCACACAATGCCTCCGTCATCACCGCCAGCTCAAGTCTTTGGTAGTTCTGGGGCATGCACGTTTCTGTTGCTGTAAATGTCCTTCCTTCTGTCTGGCCTGCATGGATTTCACTCCCTGACTAGCAGCCCCCAGCACCGTGAGGGGTACGCGCTGCGGGGTGCTGAGGAGGGCTCTTAACAGTCGGCTTACTACTTCTGAAACCTCAGGACGTCCGGAGCGAACCCCGGCTGCTCCCTCAGCGGAATAAACTGACATCCAATCCGCGCTTCAAATTACTGAAGCCATTCTCGAATGCTCAACCCCAGGACACCAGGAAAAGGAGGAAACAGGCTGGGAGAGCTTGGAGGAGCGGGCGCCAAGAGTCAAGGCAGGCCGGGGGCGGCGGCTCCCCAGACCGCAGGCCCGCCCGCCTCACCTGCAGCACCAAGGCCTGCGCGGCCCCGGGTGGGAAGCCCATGCGGTCCGACGGGTGGCGCAGCAAGCGATAGAAGTCTGTCTTGCGGTACAGGAAGCCAAAGAGAACGCGGAGGAAATCCTGGACGTTGCCCACGTGCTGCAGGATGCCCAGAAGGGCCTGGTCATACAGCTCGGCCGCCCCGGGCTCCATGTCGCCTCCCGCCCTAGGTACGCTTCACACACAGAGCGCCGCCTCAGACCTGCCGACTGGCCACTTCCGGCGTCCGCAGCCAACGGCTCCGCCGGACGGCGTGGCTGCAGAACTTCCGGTCCGTGCTTGTTCGGCCCCTGAGACCCCGGGCTGTTTTCCCCGGGCCCGGCTGCCCCACGGGCTTTGCCCTGAGGTGGTCTTTGACAAAAAAGCCCGATAAAGTCAGCATTGAGGTTCCTACGCGGAAGGAGGCCCGTGGCTGCTGTTGCGCTGCGGTCGCTTGGCCGCCATGTTTGAAGAGGGCGAAAAAAATTATGGGGCGTGCAGTGTCACGTGGCTGCTCGGATTTTTTGTCACATTGTCGGTGGAGCCTTTCTTATTTCTGTGTTCAATTCCCGCCTGGGTATTCGGAACCTGTGGTTAAAGCTGGGGCTGCGGTAAGCTTTTTGTTAGTGAGCCAGATACGGGAAAATGCATATATGTGGGATCTGTGGGTTTCTTATTAATAACAGAGCTGTGAGTTAAACTCAGGGCGTTGCATCAGAAGAAAGTCAAGACGACGAAGAAAAGAGTGAGTGCGTTCACGTATATTAAGTGGAAAGAGCTAGATTCAGAATAGGGAATCCGTATGCCATCGTTGTGAAATATGCACGTGTGTTTGTATAGTATGTATATGCATATATACGTCATGTATGTATATGTTAGTGTCTGTCAAAGTGGTTCAAAAGCATTTTGAGGAAGTGGACTTTAAACATTTTGACAAAGCATTAGAGTAAGATTAGGTTGGATACAAAGCTGGCTGGTGTTGTACAAGATGATAAAACCATAGGTTATTTTATGGTGGATATAAATGATTTGCACCTCTTCTAGAATAAAACATGCAGGTTAACACGTCTTCATAGTGTCTACGCTTTAATGAATTGTAAGTAAAATCAAACTCAGGTAAATTGCCCTAGAACAGTGATTCTGAAACTCTTGATTTAGGAACCATTGATGCTCTTAAAATTTGTTGAACACTCCAAAGAACATTTGTTGATACGGGTTATACTTATCAATATTTACCACATTAGAAATTAAAACTTAGAAAATGTTTAAATATCCATTTTTAAATGACGATAAAACACATTACATGTTAACATACTTTTATGCAAAAAATAATGTTCTTCAAAGCAATAAAAGCTCAGCGAGAGGAGTAACATAGTTTTACATTTTTGCAAATCTCTTTAATGAGCTTACTAGAAGACAGCAAGATTCCGCCGGCAAGGTAGCTCACGCTTGTAATCCCAGAACTTTGGGAGGCTGAGGCGGGAGAATCACGAGGTCAGGAGTTCGAGACCAGCCTGGACAACACAGTAAAACCCTGTCTCTACTAAAAATACAAAAATTAGCGGGGCATGGTGGCACGCATCTGTACTCCCAGCTACTCAGGAGACTGAGGCTGGAGAATCGCTTGAACCTGGGAGGTGGAGGTTGCAGTGAGCCTAGATCATGCCACTGCCATCCAGCCTGGGCAACAGAGTGAGACTGTCTCAAAAAAAAAAAAGAAAAAAAGAAAGTAAACTATGGTTTAATGAAACAAAATACCTCAGCTAAAAATAAGAATAAAGAATAAACAGAATAAAGGAGATCGAAGTTGAGGATGTCAAATATTGCCCTATGTAAATCTAAAGGATTTCTGCATTTTATTAATAAATATTTTATAATTAAAATGTAATGTTTTAAGAAGATTCATTATACACTATAATAAAAAGATGTGGGGGAGCAGACACTTGTAGACACTGCTGGTGGAAGTGTAAGAATATACAGACATTTTTTAAGGCAGTTTGGCAAAATCTCGCTGTATCAGTCAGGATCTTGGTGGGAAACAGATGGCCCTCCCAAGCTGGGTAGTTTGAAGGGGGCTTTTAAAAGGGACTATTTACAAAGATAGGGGCAAGGTTTTTGAAACCTCACATGAGATAGAATGGGACCATGGGACTAGTAACAGCAGAGAGCTGTTCCCACCCCTGGGCCTGGAGGGCCTGGAAGAAAGTGGCTTATAAAATCAAGATGAATAGTTGCTAGTGGAGAAGCCCACCTGACCTCTAACTCCTTGCCCTCTGACTTTCTGCTGGTAGTGACTAATGGTCACATCCATTTTGAAGCCAGAAGTTAAGATGAACAGGCTAACCCTCTTCATCTGGATCAGCCTTCCAGGGAAGAAAGTAGGTTGGAAGAAGGTGGAGAGCAGATCAGAAATGGCAAGAAAAAGAAATCCAGTACACTATTGAAAATCAAAATGTACATAGATATTGGCCAAGCAATTTCACTACTAGAAATTTACCAGCTGGGCGCGGTGACTGACGCCTGTTATCCCACCACTTTTGGGAGGCCAAGGCGGGCAGATCACTTAAGGTTGGGAGTTCGAGACCAGCCTGACCAACATGGAGAAACCCCATCTCTACTAAAAATACAAAACTAGCCAGGCATGGTGGCACATGCCTGTAATCCCAGCTACTCAGGAGGCTGAGGCAGGAGAATCACTTGAACCCAGGAGGCAGAGGTTGCGGTGAGCCGAAATCATGCCATTGCACTCCAGCCTGGGCAACAATAGCGAAACTCCATCTCAAAAAAAAAAAGAAAGAGAAATTTACCTTATAACTATATTCAAGTGACTGTATGGATTTATTTATAGGAGGACATTCATTACAACATTATTTATAATTGTGAAAAGCTAGAGTTAAACGCCCAACCATAGGTGGCTGAATAAATAGTGATCCATAGTTTTTATTCACACACAACATGTATTTACTGAGAATCTGTGGGTATGAATTTATGAAGTGAATACAACACATTGCAGAATGGAATATATGGTGGAAACGGGCCCCAAGTAAGTCCAAAACCCAGCAGAGAAAAACCTGTATTTAGTCCTAAAGCTGGAGAATAATCTCCTTTGACTCCATGTTCTAAATCCTGGGCACACTGGTTTGGGGATTGGGCCCCCAAGGCCTCAGGCAGCCAGGTCCCCATGGCTTTCTCTTGGTTTGCAGTCTCATGACTGCAGCTCTCCCAGGCTGGGGTTACACAAGGGTAGCTCTAGAGTTTTGGGCTCTACTAGGTGCTGCCCTGGTGGGAACTCTCTGTAACAGCTCTGACCACATATTCCTGCTACGCATTGCCTTAGTAGGGACTCTTTGTGGTGGCTCTTCCCCTGCAATAAGTTTCTTCCTGGGCCTCAAGCTGTTTGATATATCTTTTGAAAACTAAGTGGAAGCTGCCATGACCCCACCACCCATGCACTCATCCCTGCAGAGTTAGCACCATGTAGACATTGCCAAGGCTTACTGCTTGTGCCCTCCAAAACAGCAATCCAAACCAACCTGGTCCCACATGAGCTGTGCCTGGGGCAGCTGAGGAATGCGGCACTGGAATGCAGGGAGCAGAGTTCCAAGGCAGCTCTGGGCAGTGAGCCTATGGACGTTACCCCAGGCCTGTCCTCCAGAATCATTCTGCCCTCCTAGAGCTCTGGACCTGTGATGGGAGGGGCAGCCTCGAAAATCTCTGAAATAGCTTTGAGGTCATTCTCCCATTGCCTTGGTGAATAGCATCTGGCTCCCTTCCATTCACACTAATCTCTTCAGCAAGCAGTCTCTGGGCCACGCTCTGAGTTCAGTCTCCTAAATGTACCTTTTTATATTTTACATGGCTAGGCTATAAATTTTCCAAATCTTTCACTCTGCTTCTTTTTAAATTATAAATTCTGTCTTTAAGTCATTCCTTTGTTCTTGTATCTCACTATATGTGATTTAAAATGGCCATGTAGCAGCCTGAATGCTTAACTGCTTAGGTATTTCTTCCACCAGATATCCTAGTTTGTCATTCAAATTCCACTTTCCATAAAGCCGTCAGGCATGGACACAGTTCCACCATTACTACTTTATAACAAAGATGCCCTTTATTCAAGTTTCCAATACCTTGTTTCTCATTTCTGTCTGAGACCTCATCAGAATGGCCTCTACCAATATTAAATATAATGTTGGTAGATATATTGCCAGTAAAGGCCGTTTACTGTTAATGTTGGTAGAGATATAGACAGTAAAGGCCATTTACTGTTAATGTTGGTAGAGATGTAGACAGTAAAGGCCATTTACTGTCCACATCAGAGACTGTGTCCATATCTCTATCAACAATCGTGACCACTGAAGTAATCTTTAAGAAGATTCTGACTTTCCCTATATCTCTTCTCTTCTGAGACTTCACCCTTAATTCTCCGTTTATGGCAATACAGGCTCTTTCTAGCATGCACCTCAAAATTCTTCCAGTCTCTACCCATTATCCAGTTCCAAAGCTACTTTTATGTTTTCAGATATTTGTTATAGCAATAGACCCACTTCTCAGTGCCAATTTTCTATCTTAGTCCGTTTACTGTTGCCATAACAATACCAGAGACCAGGTAATCTATAAATAACAGGCCTTTATTTAGCTCATGGTTCTGGAGGCTGGAAAGTTCAGGAACTTGATGCCAACATCTGTTGAGGGCCTTCTTGTTTAGTCATCCCTTGGCAGAAAGCAAAAGGCAGAAGGGGCAAGTGAGTACACAAGATAGATGCACCAGGGGCCAGCGTCACTTTATAACAACCCACTTTTATGGTAACTAACTCACTGTAGTAATAACATTAATTCATTAATGAGGGCTCTACCCGCATGATCCAGTCATCTTTTATTAGGCCCTACCTCCCAACATTGTTTCATTGGGGCTTACATTTCCAGCACATGAATTTGGGAGACACATTTCAACCATAGCAAGCATGTTAACTAAAGAAAAGACATTTAAAAAATGAAATCATTTAGTAGTGAAAATATGATGTATTCGATGAAAAATACACCAGATGATATGTACCACAGATTAGAAATACAGCCGGGAGCAGTGGCCCACACCTGTAATCCAAGCACTTTGGGAGGCCAAGGCGGGAGGATCATTTGAGGTCAGGAGTTAAAGACCAGCATGACCAACATGGTGAAACCCTGTCTCTACTAAAAATACAAAAATTAGCCATGCATGGTGGCACACCCCTGTAGTACCAGCTACTTGGGAGGCCGAAGTAGGAGAGTCACTTGAACCTGGGAGGCAGAGGTTGCAGTGAGCTGAGATCGTGCCATTGCACTCCAACCTCAGCAACAAGAGTGAAACTCCATCTCAAAAAAAATAAAAAGAAAAAAAAAAGAAAAAAAGAAATAAATAGATAAAGTATTATTGAACTTGAAAAAATAGCAACAGAAACCACCTAAATTGAAAAAGAGATAAAAAGGACTCAAAAAAAAAAAAAAAAAAAAGCACATCAGTGAGTTGTGGGACAACTTCATCTTGTCTAATTTACATGTAGCTGAGTTCCTAAAGGCTGGGGTGGGGAACAGAAAAAATGTTTGAAGAATCAATGGCTGAACTTTTTCCAAATTA